TTATATGCTAAAATGTATGGACCAAGAACAAATTTTTTGTCTTTACTGTGGTAACCTGATGTCATTTGTATGGGGAGTAGGAAGCTGATAGTTTAAGTAATTCTAGCATCCACTGCTGACCCATCATCTACGTTTGCTAAAAGTTGTTCACGATCTTCCCTATCTAGCATACAGGCATTTCTGCTACATTTCACATTAAACTCAGACTTGCATTTTCAAGAGGAAATAAATATTGGCCCCTACACATAATTAAATCACAGTAAAGAAGGAAAAAAATACAAAAAAAATGTTTATCATGTTTATAATTCTCAACCTTCTATTTTTATATTAATGGAGTTTCACATAGTTTTACCCTTTATCCACAAGAAAGTTCTGGTTATTTTTTCAAGATCTCTGATGCCTGAACCAGTGTGTCTCTCATCTTTTGGGAGAGAGATACAGAATTTCCCAAATTTTGTTGGCAGCAAAGTGTTTTCAGGGCTGTGTAGAAATGAATCTATCAACTCCAAATAAGAGATTAGCTGTGCTTTTCACTGGTAAACAGCAGCATTAAAGAAGCTGACAAAAATGAGTTTTCGATGAGGTTAGAAATTGTTCCCACTGAGGGCCTTTAGGGGACATAATCGTGACTGAAGTAAACTGAGATTTTGGAAAAGAAAATGTGACCAGAGTCACCAGGTTTGATACATCCAGAACCAGGAGAAGCTTCCATTTTGGGGAGTTTCAGGGGCAGCCACTGGAGCAGCTGTTGCCTGCTCTCTGGAACATCCCAAGCAGGGCAAGAGGATGCAATTAGAGAGGAGAACAAAGAAAAGTCACTTCTGTGCCATATACCTCTTAAGACTGCAGCAGTGATGTCGCCATGGAATGATACAGAAAAACATTCTATTTTAAATTTCCTGTTCACTTATCCATAATGAGGGACTTAGGGGTACCCATAGGAAGAGGCGTAGAGTTTGGTGGCTAGAGTAGAAACTCTAAAATCACACTTTTGGGCTTCAACTCTGTCTCAACCACTTGGTACAAAAAGCAAGGTACCCAACTTTTCTATACCTCAGTTTCTTCATCTGTAAAATGGGGTTTAGGATAATACCTGCCTCACTGGAATATTGCAAGCATTATCTGAGATAATTCCATGAAAAAGCACCCAGCACAGTGCCTGTTATATAAGCACCCAGTGAAAATAGGCTGCTGTTATTGACACTATTAAATGAGAGAATGTCTACGAATGCTTTTTGCAAAATGAAAGAGCATGCCAAAAATGTAACATGTTACCATTAAACTCATGAAATACTTGCCTAATATATGAGTATAAAGTACACTACTATAAACCATCACATTCCAATAGCTGTGAAATGTACATTCAAAATAGGTAGTAGCTCTCTCCTCTGACCTACATTATTTGTTGAACACATTTTGCATTCATTATCCATTGCATACAATTTTGTGCATTATCTTATATAATTTTTGTCTCTTAATTATTTTGTATGTATGAAGATTTAGTCCCCAGTAATAGCTCAAATTCAAGGTAAAGGCTATGACCTACATTTAACCTGCCCGCAACAATTGGCCCAGTGCTGGGTAACCAATAGATGCTAAATATATCTTCCTTATTGAACTGTTAATTGGGCTCTACAGTCCTAACAAATACCCAGTAATGTTCAAAGCACTTAATAAAGAAGTGGGTCAAAAGGTGAGTGTAGAATCTTGAAGTTCATTACCTGTACCCTGGCTTCATGAAACACAGACAATACTTTGTAAAAAGTATAAGAGAGTGGCTGTGGTTGTAGATTAGCCAGACCCAGCAATGTCTGCATCTTGCTAAAGTGTCTTCTTGTATACCCCAAAGTAGAATAAGGATGGTGAAAGAAAATCCATTAGGGACATCCCCTGCAAGACTCTTTTCTTGCAAGGAAAGTGCTGCTGCAGTGTAGACATGGGCACTCTGGCTGATACTCCATTCATTACATCTGTTCATTTATTTATTTATTCATTCGTTCCGTAGTCAGTATATACTAGCAGTTTTAGTTGCTAGGATATATCCAGTGAGCAACACTTGTAGAATTTACATTCTAGTACAGAGAGACAAATAAAAATATACTAACTACATAAAGCCATTTCAGACAATCATAAGCACCATGAATAAACTATAACACAGTAGTGGGATGGCATGGGTGAGGGCGGCTACCTCAGCCAGGGAAATCAGCAAGGACATCTCTGAGGAGGTGGCACCTGAGCTGAGACCCGAATGGTGAGAAGTAGCCCGCTGCACAAACAACTGGGGAGAGAACAGCAGGTGCAAAGGGCCCGAGTGAGGCAGGACAGAGCCTAGCTGGTTCTAAGAACAGACGTAAGATCAGTGTGGCTAAAACACATGAATGATGGGGAGAGTGGTAGGGATGACGCTAGGGAGGTAAGTAGGGGCTGCGTTTGACTGTCTTTGTAATGGCGAGCTGTTGGGGCAGGAGTGACTTGATCTAATTTATGAATGCGAAAGATCTCCCTGGCTATGCTGTGGAAGATGAATGCAGGGGATGAATCAGGGAGCCATGTCCGAAGCTGCAGCAGGGGTCTAGATGAAGGAGATAGTGGCTCAAATGAGGATAGTGGGGAAGGAGAGGGAATCACCAGACATGGCAGTGGGATGGAAGGAGCAGGCCAGATGGTTTAGGGCTACAGAATTACGGTGGCTACAAAGTATTCTTCTGCACATTTCTGAGAAAGTCTCTAAAACTTAACTGTCCAATGAGTGAAATTTGTTGAGTGAGAGATACATTTATTTCCTTTACAAGGTACTTTATTGTTGGCAAATAGGTAGAAAAGTAGGCAGAATCAATATCATTACTCATCGCTTATCTGTTTTTATTCTGTATACCAGGCCCATGCTAAGAATCTTATGTGCATAATTCTCGCAGTAGTCCTGTGGGGTAGACGCTTTCATGATCTCCATTTGACACAGGAGGGAACTGAGATTCCGAGGGGCTGAGAGGCTGGCCAAGGAAGGGCTACAGGCAGAACTGAAACGAGGTCTGCCTCACCCTGGAGTGATCTGTCCCTGCTAGTGCTTTTGTTTCGTGTATTATCTCATTCCAGAAAGAATGTGGAGTGACCCATGAAGCTGATACCAGAGATGATACAACTTAAGCTCTTTTCTAAATGACCCTCCTTTAAATACATAGAGTATTCAGCCTCTCTACGTGAATAATTACTGTTAAATAATTCACCTGTACGATAGCTAACACCAGAATCACATAAGAAGGAGATATAAATTCATGTTATTTTGAGCTCTTTAAAGTTATTGATCATATCAGACATAGTAACAAACACTATATTGCTCATACTTCAGAACATTGCGTAGAAAATCAAATCTTAACATTGAAACCAGAAGGGAAACATGATAAACATTTTCTAAAAAATAAAAGAGATACCAAGACTTCAAAATAAACTTTATTAAAATTTTATGGCATCTTAAGGAAACATAAGAACATGTGAAATATTTTAAGAACTAAATAGTTTAATGTAAATATACTTTTCAAAAACAATCGTAAAATACAGAGACTTTTATCTTCTTATTAGTCAGGATACAGATAAGATTCCGATGCTGATGGATGATTAGGGTGGTTTATTGTTGAGGAAAATCAAGTCCAAGTGATGGATCGGAGTGTAATTAAAATGTCAGAGCAATAAATTGTCATGTGTGACTAGTAAACCACTCGAATCATGAACCAATGTGATTTATTGTTCCTTCTTTTCTTTTTCTCAAAACAAATGCTACTAACTGGCCAAGATTTGCAAATCTTTAATTACTAATTGTGTGCATAGATCTTTATGGGGCTGACATTTAAGTTAAAAAAAAATGTTTTTAATCTCTGCTGTGAAGCACAGGGGGAGATTAGAAATTGATTCAATAGTCATCTTAAAAGGAGGAAAAATGAGCTGGGGAAAGACATGCATTATTCTTGGGAAGATGAAAAGTTTCCATCCTTGATGTTAATCATCTATATTGCTGACCACTGAGAAAGGGCAAAGCCAAGTGGATTTTTTTTTTCTTTGCGAGCAGCTTTTGTTTTTTGTTACACTTTTTATTTGTGCAATTCAGTTACTTTTTCCTCTTCTTTTGGTTCTTTGTTTGTTTGTTTGTTTTTCTTATTTCTCATCATCACTTCATGTGGGCAGTGAAAATTCAGAGGAGCGACAGGCAACTTACCTGGGATTCCTGGGCCAGCAGCCACTGCAGCCATCACACCAACCATCACTATAATACGTACCACCCTGACCATTGCAGAGTGCCAGCCCTGACATTCCCGAAAGCGCCTCCTCCAAACAGCCCTCGTAATGTTCCAGGCTTTCTCCTCCTGGTCTTTTATTTAAAATATATTCTTCTCACTCCTTCCTCCTCTAATTCATTCCATCTTTGGCATCATGAGTATTATATGCTTTTGTTTTTTTTTTTTGGTAGTAGTAGCAACTTATCATTTCTGACATCTCCTAAGTCTTTTTCTTTTTCATCAGAAAGCATTTGTTAGGAAAGGCATAAATGTTCAGAATGCTTTACATGTGTCTCAGGAAATAACCGTTGAGAATATTACATCGAGTACAATGTTCTCAGATCTTCTTTGTGTTTGTGGAATCACTTATGAAATTCATGTCAGAAATATCTATGAAAATGAGATTATGTATGACGCATTGAGTTGTTCATGGAGAAACTTGTTTTAATGTTTTTTGGGGTTTTTTTGTCTAAAGTAAAACTCATAGAGTCTCTTTGTATTCCTATGTGCTTACAAGGACCTTGCTGTTCCTCAGCATTTACAGGCTCTTGTAACTCTGAGATGCTAAAGAGCTGTCTCATGCTCCTGAGGCCTCATGTCTGTCTGGTTGGGGTACTAACTAGCCGTAGCTGTCCATCACGTGTGTTTGTCTGAGTCGTTGCTGGCTGGCAAATGTGGCAGGCTCACGCCCCACCTGAGAATGCTCTGTGCCACGTCTTCACTCTCTTACAGCAGCTCTGGTGTCTTCATCCTTCTCTCCTACCTCCATGAGTGCGTACAGCCTGAGTTCCCTGAACATGGGGACTTTACCTCGAAGCCTCTACTCCACGAGCCCACGTGGAACCATGATGAGGAGGAGACTGAAAAAGAAAGACTTCAAGAGCTCACGTAAGTAAAATATCAGCCAAAGGCATTTAGCCCAGAGAAAATGTCTTGGAAATACTGAAACCTAAGGGAAGAGTGTTTCATGGGGCCTGATTGATCAGGCAGATCTGATCTATTGACATGATACCCGTTATCTGTATGATAATGGTTGCCCTTGAATATAACTTCAGACTGAATTAGTTCATACCACCTTTGCCTACAACTTTTTATTTCTGAGATTTTTTTTTTCTTGCTCTTTTATGTCATAACATAAGCAAAGATGTTCCTTTTAAGACTCCTTTTTCATATTCTGGGTGGCTTTGGACATGAAATCTTTGTTCTTAGTTTCTTATTCACTCTAAAGCAATTTTGTGAAAACTATGCCACCCCTTTTTGATAAATAGAAGAATCTCATGTATTCAGTTAATGCTATTATAAATTTCATACTAAATTATATTTTATAACCCCCCCCCCCAAAAAAGCAATGATAAATTCAAACATTCCTTTTCAAACTATACTTCATTCCCCAAGATTCCAATACTTTTCCCAGGAAGGTACCTACAGATAATCATTGATCTAACATATATTTCTTGTTATCCCCTTCAGCCTTAAGAAGGTTGGAAGGACACTCATCTTTACAGCAGGCCTCCTAAAGTGTAGGAATTTCTATGATGATTCTTGTAAATATGATCTGGACAGCCAAACACCATACACACTAAGCAAGACTAGGAAAATGTAGTTGGCTACTTGTTTGGGGATAGCTGGTTGTATGTATAAAGAGAAAAAGTATTATTGAATACCTCAAAAAGAAAGAAATGCAAATCTCTCCTAAATTTGTCTTTCCTGTTGGGGAAGATTATAATCTCTCATCATAATCACATAACTTTTGAAGGGGGAGAACACCTACCTTTCCAGCCAATTCCAGTCATAGTCTAGAGAGGTGTGAGTATTTCTTGTCCTGTATCCCTTTTGGCAGCCATGATTATAATTCCTGTAAATAGACTTAAAGAAGATGAGATTTCTTCCTGTGATTACCATGGGAATAAAAATAGGAAACACCCTTAAGATACCTAAATAAAACTGAACCCGGATACTTCACGGCTGGTGTGGCCCTATTGGCTCTTCAGCTTGTTTGCCAGAGATTCATCTCCCCAGGAGGATCTGTCTCCCACCTCCCCAGTGCCACCATCAGTGCAGCCATCACCCACGCTGGGAAGCAGTGTCTTCATGTTGCAGGAACCTGAAGGTTTCCTTACAAAGAAATCCCATTGCAAAAGATAGGGTCACCATTGTGATATGTACATGGTTTTTGACTTGCATATACCTTCAAATAGAAAGAGATTTGTCATCTTTTGTATATGAAAATGATAGTAAATTTGGAATTAGGCAAATGGAGGAAGATTGAGTTTAGCCAAAATGAGAACAAAGAGATTCTAGAGTCCCATATTGTTTTTGCTGACACTAGAGTGAATTATTTGCTCTTGGAAGAAACCAGTTGAAAGCAATATAGTGAACTGGTTAAGAGCCTAGACTCTGGAGCCAGGCTCCCTGGGTTCTCATCCCAACATCATCACTTTCTAGCTGTAGGACCTTGAGTAAGCTTCCTAAGCTCTCTATGCCTTGCCTGAAAATAGGGATAATTATAGTCCTTACTTCATGGGGTAATTGTGAAGATTATATGAGATTATGTGTGTGTACACTTATGTGTCTTAGAACCACACCTGGTAAATAGTAGGCTCTATCTAATTCTTAGCTATTTTTAATAGTTTGCATTACCTATTACATGTCAGAATCTGAATTGTCATGTGTGAAAATCTCTTGACATTGCTGTCAAATTTAGGCCTTTTTCCCAATGGTTACACTTTGACATGAATACGTAGGTCTTGACTCTTCCATGTAATACCTTCAGGGTTGGTGGTGGATATTTACAAATGAAATTTTTTATGTATAATGGCTTTGTGTACAGCACCGCTGCCCACTGCACTCCAGCCTGGGTGACAGAACAAGACCCTGTCTCAAAAAAAAAAAAAACTCAGACAGAAACAGGCTAACAGCCCTCAGCAGGAAAGAGCAATTAAAATGAACTTATGAATGTTTGTAATTCTGCTTCAAAAGCTAACCATTTGTTTGTATTAGGTAAGATTTGCTGTGTTGATTAGGGCCATTAGTGAATACAAATGAGTGATAATATGTTTGGCTATCTCAGGTTGATATTTACACATCTTAAATTTTGTAGCAGGAAACAAAGCTGAGGCCACACTGTCACTGATATGCATAAACCACTCAAATTCTCTCTTGAATAGCGCATTATTCTCCAACTTGGTAGAAATATAAACAGAAACCTGGTTCAAGAAATTTCTAGTTGTTTGTGTTTGCTGTAGACATTAGCCACTATAGCACCACTCATAATATACATACCAGAATGTTTACAAGCGTGTCTCAGAAGATCATACATTTTGTATTTTAATTAAACAAAGTCCAAAATGGCAGGAACATTTATTGCCACTTCAAAAAGACTGGAAAAAATTATAGAATTCTAAATTTTAAAAAAAAATTGGGAATTTCTTTTCTTTTATTTATTGCTTAAACTTAGTGTGGCTACATTAGATGTAAAGGTCTTCCTGAATAACTGATAATAAAAGTTTTATTGCCACTTTCTCTATACCGTGGTTTATTTCCACCACTTTATTTATGTCTTTATTCTGTGCCATCGTTTGCTGCCCCCTTTCTAATGTGTATGTTTCTATAGCAACCGGGCCATTTGTATGGATGGTGAATCATGGCAAAAGTCACAAATATAATAAAGTCTCTTTGCTGTATTGGCAATGAGTTGAGACCAGAGCTTGCAAAACAGAAAATTCTCACATTTCCATTACAAAGGAAGTACATGCCCAGAAAAGAATGAAATCTTCTCAGATAAATATTAAAACATTCCGTGTCATTGACCAAAGGGGAAAATACAGGAAGTCTGAAATAACATGTTACATGTACTAAAACAGGAGGCCGCCACGTTTGTTTCATAGGAGAATGATGAGTACACCAAGCGCTAGGGTTTGAGGAGCGTCACAAAACCCTGGGAGGGTTGCAGAGCCATGTCATAGAGGGAGCCCTCTCTTGTCTCTGGAATCTTGCTGGCCTTTCCTCCACTCCCTGGCTGCCCCTTTTCCTGCTGCAGAGGCCAAGGCTCGTTCCAGAGCCCCATCACACCCCGGTCATGGCAGCATGCCTGAGCAGTGGATCCGGCTAGTTTCTCCTGCTTTCTGCTTCCTGCTCCCGTACACAGGGCCAGTGTAGAGACTCTGTTCTCAGTCTGCCTGAACTGCAGCAAAGAATAGAAGCTAGAACACATTTCCAGAAGGATCTTTGCGTCTTTTGTCATCATCACTTATTACTAGGGAGGGTGACATTGAAAATAGCCAAAAGGAAGAAAATGAAAAATCATAGGAACTTTTCTGGTTCCTTCTACCAACGTAGGAAAAAAGAATGGAAGATAAGGGCAGCTAATGGTAAGCTTCTATAGGTAGTCATGCCGCGAACCCGGGAAGGGAACAACTTAAGAGCTGCCACCTCATCTTCAGAAGGGAGCTATTGGCCACCTCTGCTGCACTTCTGAACTGGATCACATGATCCACAATGTGTTGGGTCCCCAGCAGGTAGACACTAGTGTGGACCACTTTAGTGAAACAGAAGTCTCAAATTATAGGATCAAGTAATAAAAACACATTATATTAATAAACCTTTGGGGCCCTTTGCTCTCTACTTTGAAAATGCTTCTCAGATCTGACAGAAAATCTCACAGCCTTCTAAATTAAATAAACATTTAGCAGATTTTTAAACTTTTGGTGCCAAAGAGCTGTCTTTGGCCCTCCCTGCCCTTCCTTACACTACGAAAGACAAGAATTGACAACACACAGTCATTCCCTGCAAACCTGAAGAACTGTGAATGGAACCCTCCATGTGTGAATTGGAACAGGGCAGAGCAGACGCGAAAGCTGAACGCAACGTCGGGACACACCAGTCAGCAGGAGTCAGACGTGGAGCGTCAGCAGTGGAGTCATTTCCATCTTCACCTTGAGTAGTCGTGGACAAGCCCCAAGCCAGAGCCAGTAGCTTGCAGCCTCGTGCCGACTGGATACCTTGCAGGAGTGTCTGCTACTGGAGGGAGAATTCATCATACAGATTTTTAAATGACAGGGTTATAATTCATTAATCACCTTCATTTTCTTTTGCTGGTTGATCACATTAATGAAGCAGGATAATCAAGCTCATCTCCTTCTCTTGCAAGTAATACTGGTGGCTTTTTCTTTTGACTCATCTTTAAATCTGCAATTTATCTGGCAGTAATTTTGAAGACTTTTATATATGTGACTAATCAATATATACAATTTCAAATGAAATTTTATTGTTTCCAAGGAAAGATTCCAATATGTCAGAGGACTTTCAGAGATCATTGTAAAATCTGAAATTGCTTAACATAATCCTGTATTTAGAATACACATTATAACTTTATATAATTTTAAAACCAATGTATAATACGTAAGTGTATTTTAAATATTAAATTAAGTCTCTTAATAATTTCTATCCCCTCAACTTGCCTCCAGATAGAGCTTATAAATGTATTGATACGTTGAATTAGTAGTTATTTCTATTTTCAAAACCTTCTAGAGAATGAGATTCCTCAGCTATCTTCTTTGTTCCAAAAAAATATAGCAAGTCTCTCCTTTGAGAAGGTTTTCAGTATATCTAATCTAATCCCACCTATTACTATTAAATTGACCTGTTTTTTCTTGGTTCTCTCTCAGTAGAGATGGCAAACAGCTGACAGAAGGTTTAAAAACAGTTTTTAACTCTAAGTTGTCTAAAAATCTTTACCAAATTGTGATCTCAAATGGAAAAAAAAATGAACGTGAAAGTATAGAGTCACGGAAAGTAAAGTGTCCCTGCTGAAGTCCAAAAAGCTTCACCTAGAAGATAAGTGGATATAACCTGCCAAGTAGGTGATGCTATAACATTATAGTCCTGTCTGCTGTGAGTAATAAATGGGAAGAAACACACTCTGCAGGTCCTTGCTGACGGGAAATGGTGTCTTCTAGTGGTTTTATGCCACTGGTGGCAAAAGTATGATCTGGAGAGCAACCAAAGTACATTCAACATCGGCAAAGCACTTTTAATCTGAATTAAATGCAATCTGAATTAAAATATGATAGTCCATATGTCAGACCTTGGCATTGTAAGCCACCACCTGTAAAAGGGGTGGAGGCTACCTTCACCCTGACACTGGCTACGTTAACCTTAATGCAGCTGAGACAGAATGATCATGGTGCTTCTTAAGGAAAAGTAGATTTTTTTTTTCCTTACTAATCCTGGATAAATGATTCACCCCACCCCACCCCCATCCTATCAGCTACAAGTATCTATCATGGCAGAAGAGTTTGGGTCCTGAAGAACAACTTCCATGTGTGAATTGGAAGAGAACAGAGCAGAATCCTGAACACAACGTCGGCACACACTGGTTAACAGGATTCAAACATGAGGTTTCGGCAGTTCCTTATGGTCATTCAGCAGCATCTACGTAAAGTGTTGATTCCAAAAAGGAAAATATAGATGATATCACAAAATTTGATTCATTCCCCACTTATTCAGCATTTATTGAATGTTCCAGACACCAGGATTTCAGAGATTAAAAGATCCGGTCCCAACACTTCAAGAAGTCAGGGTCAAGTGGAGAGGACAGGCAGGCAAATAAAAACCTGATAAACACTGAGATAGGACCATGTGTGAAAAATGTGGAAACAAAGAAAGTAAGTACCCAGTTCTGCCTGGATAAAGCAGAGAAAGGGACATTGAAAACTCTGGGCAACGGCTGAAGGGACAGAGGGCACAGTGTATATGAAGACACAAAAATGTGCAAGACAAGCAGGGCCTGGCACAGCATGTAGAGGTAGCACAGAGGAACACGAGGATGCACGGACAGGAGAAAATGAACTCACGAAGGGTCTCTGCTGGAAGGGTCTCTGTGTGCTCTGCTGGAATTGAAAAGTTTGTTCTATAAGAAATAGGGAGCCACTGAAAGATTCTAAACTGGGGATGAGCTTTGCATATTAGAAAGCCTACTCTGGCAGCAGTTGGAGGCTGTTACCATAAGACAAGAGGCAGGGACACTGGTTAGAAGTCTATACAGTAATGTTTACTAGAGATGAGGAGGCCCTACTCTAGGCAAGTAGGTAAGTTGGGGCCTTATCATATCAAGGAATGTTCATCTGGCAACGAAATGCAGAAAACATTGGGCATGAGAGGACCCAGAAATATATATGGTAGCATAATTGAAATAAAAAGTAATGAAAACCCAAACTAGGACATTGAAAGTAAGAAGGGAAAAGTAAGGGGATTTATGTGAGATATATTTCAGTGGTCACCCTGAAAGGCCTTAGTAATCGATCGAATGTGAGACAAGGGAAGTTGCAAGTCAAAAGCTGCTTTGAGATTTTGAGTCTGGAGGACTATAAACACTCTGGTCCTGTTCACAGAGATAGTGGCAGTGACAAGGGAAGATGATTAACTCAGTTTTGAAAACGTTGAGTTCGAGGACTCAAAGAGACATTTTGTGGATGGGATGTCCGTCAAGTAGGGAAATTCATTGCTGGAGCTTAACAGAAAGTACAGAGAAATATTTGAGAAGATGCATACATAGGTCATAGTGCAGATGTGTTAGGAATGAATGAGGGCAAGAATGAAAGTAGAAAAGACTTAGGACAGAACTATGGGCTGGAATGCAGAGAGAACTGGCAGGCGCTGAAGAAGTCAGAAACTAGGTACAAAGCTTCATCAATACCTAGCGGGCAATTTTAGAGAAAGGGATGGTCCCACAGCCAGTCAGAGTAGTTGGAGCAGATGAGGTCATTGATTTGGGCCATCAGGAAGTCATCAGTGCAGGCAGTTTCAGTAAAGGATGGAGGCAGAAGCCAAATTTTAAGCAGTTTTCTGAATGAGTACAAATCTATAGACAGAGGGCAGAAAGCTAGGCAAGTGAGTAGGGGAGTTTGGAAAAGCAGCAAGAGAGAAGAGTTTTATGGCATAAAATCACAGAGAGGGTGGGAAGGGATAGAATTAAAAACACTAAAAGGAGAAGGGAACCTTGAAATAGAAGGCAGGCCACATCCTCCTGAAGAGGAAGAAAAAAATAGAGAACAGAGAAATGAAATTAAGGTGGAGGACAATGTTGTGTAAGGAATTCTTATCAAATGATTGGATCTTCTCAGTTTTGCAGGAAATGAGGTGAAAAATGAAGTTTAACCCTTATTAGGATAGAAACAATTGAGACATATCCTTTGAGGTAGCAAATAAGGTGCCAAAATATTATACAACAAAGGATTCCAGGACCCAATGGACAGTAGTGTGAGTTGGTGGGGACTTTCTCTAGCCTGTTCAGCAACTTAGTAACAGCAGTGGACTCGACTGGGCATCACCAAAGAGTATAGAGTATCAGAGGATCGAAAATCCCATGAAGTATAAGAATATTCGATCCTAGCAGATACATCACTGAGACGGTCACCAGGGGTCCAGGTGGCATGTGGTGGGGGGTGACACCAGCATTCGCAATGGGTGAAGATGATGGCAGCTTTCCAACTCCATTCCCCAGGTTCCCACCTGAGGCTGGAGGGAGGTGTCTGGGGTCCCCCGTTTCTACCTCAACTATAGTAGCTTCATTTTTATCTGGAATACAAAAGCAACCCTTACAGGCTTTCATCTGAAGAGGCGAAAATCTGTTGCCAACGATATTGTTTGAAAACCAGTAGACTAGAAGACACATGAGAGGGAATGGGACTTGAAGTCATAAGGAGGGAAAAGTTAGGTTGTGGGGACCAGGAAAGGTAGCTAATTAGGGGTATGTGATCAGCGAGGGGATTCAGATGTTGGATCTTGGAGATCCATCCATTTGGAAGGAAGATGGGGTCCAGCATAGGACTCTGTTGGCAGAGAGTGGAAGTTGGGTGGATTGCTAGGACCTGGCATTGAGACAGCTTAAGAGCCCTAAAGCCAGCCTATTAGAAGGTTATCACCATGATGTCAAAGATGCAGAGGACCAGGGAAAGCTACAGGTGAAAGGAGATAGACTAAGAGCCAAGTCCTATAGTCAGTGAAGAAAGGCGGGGGGGAGGGTTTGAAAAAGTAGACTATGCGTTTGAAGGTAAGACAAAGCAGAAATAAGTACAAAACATGGGACTCTAAATAGGTGCAATCTGAGTTAAAGCACTGCATGCGGGGAGCAAAGAGCACTGTACATCTCTCTTGCCCCTTGTAGGGGAGTGAAAGAGAATGGCTTCTGGTTGGAAAGGGTTTTGAAGTATATGATGTCTTCAGGTTTCGATTAAAGTAGGGGGCAGAAGACCCTTTTTGGAGGATATGACAGTTCAGCATAGGACCCTGCAGGCAGAGACTGACCCTGCTCACAGAAAGCACAGGTGGCCCGGCTACAGTGGGCAGGGCAGAGAGAGGGGACTCCAGGAGTGGGACAGCCCTTTCATGACCTGAGTTGGGGAGGGAAGTAAGACAAAGATGTCTGCCTGGAGGATTCGATCAATATCAGAGAATTGAATAAAACAGGAGGCGGCGGGGTAGGCTGGACACCCAGTGGGAAAGAACAGGAGCTGAAGAGACCAAATTTGGCGGTAGGAGGAATATACAGAGTTTAAATGACTCCATCATGCCAACCCAATGCTGGATTAAGGGTGGCGACCAGCACAGCCTCAGCACTCCAGGGGCCAGACTTAGATCAATTGTTTCAGCAAAGCTGAAGGTGAGATTGTTTAAGTCACCAAAGCCCAGATGCAGATGGCTAAAGTGGAAAAAAACATTAGACCAGCTAGCTCAGCTCCCTTTTTCTTAGATAGGATACAAACACACACAGAGATGAAATAGCCCACCCCAGGGTCCTCCAGCCGGTGCTCAAAGGTGGAGCTGAGACTAGAACCCACGTACCCTGACCCCAAGGCCATCCTCTTCCTACAGTGGTCCCTGGTTTGAGGAGTGGGGACATGGAGGGGGAAACACTGGTGTGATGATTGAAATGTGGCAAACATTGGACGATTGTTTATCTTATTCAACTCTAGCTAAACTTTTTTCTAGAAGACCAGAATTTAACCTCCCACCATTGCCAATGAGCTTTTGTTCTGAGACACAACCTATTTTGTAAATGTTGGTATTCCTGGTGTTTGCTCCAACCTAAAGTCATTCTTTTTCTTGTTTGTTCCTTTAGTGTCCTTAGCCTCTAGCACAGTGGGATTGGCTGGGCAGGTTGTTCACACGGAAACCACAGAGGTTGTGCTGACAGCAGACCCCGTCACAGGATTTGGGATTCAGCTTCAAGGCAGTGTGTTTGCCACAGAGACGCTCTCCTCTCCGCCTCTGATTTCCTATATTGAAGCTGACAGCCCAGCAGAGAGGTGAGACTCTTTCTTTCACAGTATCGCTGTGTGCTCTGCATTTATGGTGCCTGCCGTCTTTGAATGGCTAATAAATTATGGAACATTGCTCAATGCAGGAAATGCAAGATGTAATGAACTCTCTTCTGACAATAAAATGTTATGTTCTTGATCAGGTTTGAGAAGAATAACGAGCATGGATGCCTTTATCTAGCAGATTTTGTCTGTCAGGGGACTGGAGGCTGTATTAACCAAAAAGGAGAAAATCCGTAGAAAACATATCCGAAGTTCAAACTTTAATAATTTCTCTGCCATAGGGGAATGTACATTCAGCATTACTGTATATTGGCTCAGATCAGATCCTAACAATATCATGGTTATGAATTATTAATTACTTCTCTGGGATACTTCATGATTCCCTTGCTCACAATTGTAATTGTGAAATGCAACAGTATATAAGACATTGAAGTTGACCTAATAATGATACCCACAGCATTGAATACATAAGACCAAGTTGTTATGCTATTTTGCAAGGATGAAACAAAGTAGATTTGGCAAGCTCAACTTGATAATTATTAACTCTATCTATAACTGCTAACATGTGGTTGTAAATTAGATGTGGGGTGCTCCAGATTGGAGACAGAGTGATGGCCATCAATGGGATTCCAACCGAGGACAGCACCTTTGAGGAAGCCAATCAGCTCCTCCGAGACTCTTCAATCACGAGCAAGGTCACGCTGGAAATCGAGTTTGATGTTGCAGGTATAATCATATAATCTCAAGTCAGCGGCAGAGTCAGCAGTGGGCTGCACGTGAATTATGTTGGTTACGTGGCAGAGGGGGGAACCATTTTTTAATATACCAAACATGCTTTTTTGAGGAGGTTTGGAGTGTCATTTTGAATTGAGCATTGTTTTTGTATTATTCATTAAAATGTCACCACAAGAACAACCAAAAATAAATGTGACAAATTGAATAAGTGATAGTCACTATAGCGGTGATAAAAAAAAATCATATGGCCTTTATTCTTTCTGACTTTCTTCTATATGCTAGAGAAACCATATTCTTCAGCCACAGAGACAAGAAAAGGCTCTTTGACCCTTTCCATGGCAAAGAATACATGAAAGTTCTTTAGAGAGCAATGAAAATTTATTAGGTGTATTTAAACAAGCCCAGTAGACAAATATTTGGTTTTTAATGTTAAAGAGAAATTGCATCAGATACTTATGAAAAATGATAAGGAAGACTTTATTCGAGACTATTGCAGAGACTGACTATTGCAGGAGAGAGAAATTGAACTCAACTCCAAATATATAGCCAGAGTGGCAGGGAATTTATAGCCAATGGGCAAGGTGAGGATGAGGGAGTCATTGGGTGGAAAATAATTAAAAGAAACTTTTTAGATATCGAGGGTGGGAGATGGCAGTGAGGAACTTGATTAGATATCAGAGGTTGGGGGGATTCTCGCTAAACTATTCAGCAAGATTCTTGCTAAAACTGGACTCCCAGGCTGAGTATCAGGACTAGTCAGAGGAGCCTGGCTGGACTTTGGTCAGGGAGTCCCCATCAGCAGCCAAGAGGTACATGGACTTTAGAGGTGGGTGATAGTTTCCATTTAAGAAAGTTGTCTTCACACAGTGAAATACTACCCATAGACCCAAGAACCTTTTCCAGTCAGTAAAGATATGCTTGTGGACACAGGGATCGCATTATTTCAGCAAATATTTGCCGAGTATTTACTGTGGGCCAGTTACTTCCTTACACAATGGAGATGTAACAATAGACAGGAAAGAAAAAACAGCTTACATTATGTGAAGCTTATGTTATAGCAGCACAAAAAGTTAATTTAAAAATTGACAAATGTAGATTTAGATAATAATAAGTGCCCTGAGGAAAGCAGGATAGAGGGTTGGATATGGCTGTGGGGAGCTATTTTTGTAGGATGAGGTTTGAGGCATCTGCCATACGGGGCTCTGGGAGGAGGGCATCCTGGGCAGAGGGCGCAGGCAGGGCAAGGACCCGAGCCAGAGTAATCAGTTTGGTGGAGAGAAAGCAACAAGGGCTGTTGCTGGGGCATCCGAGGGGGCTGCAGGTGGGGATGGGGGTGGGGGGTGGGTTTGGACTTGGGGATGGGGCAGGAGAGGTTGGAAGAGGCCAAGTAATACAGTGCCCTGGTGAAGAATTTACATTATTTATATTCCGAGTGTGGTGAAGCCATGGAGCATTTTATGCAGGGGAGGGAGATAATCTGATGAATGTTTTAGAAAGATCCTTCTGGAATGTAAGGAGAAAATAACAGAAGCAGAAAAACCAGTTGGGAGATGGTGATGGTTGGACAGGTAAGGGATGGTGGTAGCTGGAATAGATGGTAGCACTAGAGGTGGGGGCAGATAGTGGAACTTAGGATGTGGTTTGAGTGGACTAGCAGCACCTGCTTAGGGATTGGCTATGGAAGACGAGGGAGAGGGATGACCATGGGCAGCTCCTGAGGTGTGACAGGGAAGCAACTGTGTAGACAGCATTGAGAAGAGGACTGGAAAAGTAGAAATTTGGGGATAGCAAAAAGAATTCTATTTTTGAGATGAGTTAGCAAATCCAGTGCCAATATTAGAGAAAAAAAAAAAAAACCAAGCACGTCCCTTCCTTAATTCAAAAGACAGTTATGGAACACCAGTTATGTTCAGATCATTGAGATAGAAAATAGAAAGGATCGATATCCTCAAGGAGCTCGTAGCCAAATAGGCAAGAAAAAGATAAGAACAGACTTGCTGAATGTGTGTTGCCACTGGAATGCAGAAGGAAGTACCCAAGAGAGCACAGGCAGTACCTCCAGGAGCCCAGGACTGGGGGTCTGGGCTGGAGAGCAGGACCAAGGAGCGACCCGCATGTCAGTGATTGTTAAAGTCATTAGAAAAAGAGAGACCACTAGGGAAAGGGGACTGAGGAGGAGACTCTGCCTGGGGAATACCAAGATTTAAAGGGGAAAGATGCTAGCACAGGAGATAAAGAAGATGCAGTATGAGAAGTGGAGGAGAACCAAAAGAAGGGGGAGTTTTGGAAGCCAAAGAAGGGGTTTCAAGGCAGAAGTCATGATCAATAGCTTAAAAGTGCTATGGAAAATTCAAGTAACAGAGGCAAGAAATGTCCTTTGGAAGAAAGACATTGCCAGAGTAGATCCAGGGGAGCAGGGACAGAGGTTGGGTTGCAGTGAGCTGAGCGTGAGTGGAGCTGGAGAAGCACAGAGAAGCTCTGCTTGTTGTCTGAGTAGGAATTGGGTTTTGGAAGAGAGTTTGGCAGGAAAAATGCAGTGAATGGATGAAAGAGACTGAAGATCACTGTGAGCTCCTCTTTTTTTTTTTTTTTTTTTTGAGACAGAGTCTCACTGTGTTGCCCGGGCTAGAGTGCCGTGGCGTCAGCCTAGCTCACAGCAACCTCAAACTCCTGGGTTCAAGCGATCCTCCTGCCTCAGCCTCCCGAGTAGCTGGGCCTACAGGCATGCGCCGCCATGCCTGGCTAATTTTTTCTATATATTTTTAGTTGTCCAATTAATTTCTTTCTAATTTTAGTAGAGACGGGGTCTCGCTCTTGCTCAGGCTGGTTTCGAACTCCTGAGCTCAAACAATCCGCCCGCCTCGGCCTCCCAGAGAGCTAGAATTACAGGCGTGAGCCACCCTGCCCGGCCTGTGAGCTCCTCTTTGAGAACAGAAGTATATTTTAGTCGTGCATTTAGCTATATATTTGTTGCTCTGTTTTATATTGCCTTATATGCCCTACTCAGTAGTTCTTAACCAGGGTCAATTTGCCCCAAAAGACATTTGCAAGGCCAAGAGATTTAGCTGTAGAGAAAGGAGAAGGGACAGCGGAGTTCAGAGGGCTGTTGTTTTGTTTTGGTGTTTTGTTTTATTAAGCTTGGAGAGATGTGAGCAGGTTTGGAGGCAGAAATGAATGAGGGAGAGAAGAGATAATAGGTGGAATCAGGTCCCCAAAGGAATGAGCAGGGGAAGTTATCTAGGACACCAGTATATACTAGTCCAAGACAGAAGGTAGAAGAGCTCTTTCTATGAGTTTGAAAACAAGGACGTGAGAACATAAGTACATTTTCAGCTCTGTTGACATAGTTCACCTAAGAACTGTCAAGCAAGAGTGAAAGCATAAGCAGCCTGGGGGGTTGCAAAGAATGATGGTTTAGAGTAGCAAATGGGGAGGGAGGATGAGTGAGAAAACCAAGCAGAAGCATGTAAGAGGACGTTCAGGCGAGATGGTGGACCACACGAAGTGTGGAAGCTTGAAGTTGATAGCAGCATCAACCTATGTGGTAAAGTAGTTTGGTTCTTTTTTCCAGGAGACCTCAGCTGCTGAGGAATAAGAGCAGAGAAAATAGATGATTAGATTGAGCCAGAGACTGAGACTACCAGAGAAGGTTCAACAGAAGAACTTGAGTCAAGGATGCTCACAGGGTTGCTGGGAGAGCATAATAATTATTATGATAATACTTATCAAATGCTTACTCTGAGGCTTGTCACTTTCCTAAGCACTGTGTGTGTATTAGGTCATTTAATCCTTATGACAGCAATGGCAGAGGTTACCATGCTTACGTCCTCAAGAACCTGAGGCACACAGAGTTAATGGCTGGCTGGGATTTGAACCCCGGCAGTCTGGCTCCAGAGGCCACACTCGCAGCACGGCACTGCACTGCCTGTTTTGAAAGAATCTAAGTGGGAGAGAAGTGGGAATGGACAATGGATCAGCCCAATAGACTGAGGAAAGGAGGACTTCAGGAACTAGGGGGTCTTCAGGAAGAAAAATGGGTATAGTGGGAGAAAGGGGATGAGCGAGCTAAGTGCCAGATTGGGGTCAAGGTGATATATTAGAGTTTAGAACTTCAGAGAAGGTCAAGCACGGCTCAGGATGGTGAGCTGCCGAAGGGGAGGAGTACGGAGGTGAGGATTATCAACCAGGGGAGGATTGGGATAAGGAGGGGTGTGAGAATGGGCTACAATGGACATACCCAGCACAATCCCATCAAAGCGTCTTTGCAGCAGCTGTTCCCTCTGCCTAGACAGCTCTTCCCTGACACATTCAGTGGTTTACTCACTTTGTTCAAGTCTTTGCTCAAATGTCACTCGCTCAGAGAAGGCTTCCTTGACCATGTGTCACTGTCTGTCCTCTTGCCCAGATTTATGGTTCTTCTTAGCCCTCCTCGCGATCTGATGTTATGTCATGTATTTATTTATTGTCTCTCATATCCAGTAGAAAAATGTATGATGTCAGGGACCTTGTGCCTGTTGTTCAAAAATGTGCCCCTAGCACCCAAAATAGTGCTTGGGATGCAGGGGGCTCTCCTCCAGTCAGGGCTTGGTGAATGAACGAATGAATGAATGAATGGAGTAGAGTTGGCCCTCCTGTAGGATGGGAATCAGGAAGTTCAGTTTGCATCAGGAACTGAGATCATCTCCCCTGCTACTCTGGGGCTCCTAGTCTCTCAGCGCTGCTTGTTTCTGCACATCTGCTCCACTTGTCCCTGCAGACAAGCGTTCTCTGACTTTTTATTGTATGTAAGTGTCCCATCTTTGCTGAAGTGCCAGCCAGGAGAACGATTCTAACTGGCCCAGCTTAGGTTTGGTATTCTCTTGTTCAGTTATGACCAAACATGAATCAGGTAGAAGGACCCTGTAAGGACCAGTCAGATGGTGTTGAAGATAATGGTTTTCAAAGAGGAAACCCAGAGACCCTAGAATGCACTTAGTACAATGGCAGAACAT